CGGGCGCGGCGGCGACGGCGGAGCGGAGCCAACAGACGGGCCCGGCCTGGGCGCCGGAGTTGCCGAGGACGAGCATGAGCCGCATCGGGAAGGCGAGCACCTCGCGGAACGACTTGAGCACCACCTCGCGCCGCACGCCGCTCACGCGCGTGCCGTCGGCGCGCTGGCTCGACCCCGTCGCCGCGCCGCGCTCGAGCCGGAAGATGGTGAAGCCGGCGCGGTCGGCGTGCAGCCTCATACCGAGCGTATCTCCGGCCTCGAGCTCGCCGAGCGACTCGGCCTCGGTCAGCGTCGCGTGGTAGTACTGCTGCGCGAGCCGCTTGGAGTGGTACGAGATGACGCCGTCCGACGAGACGCGGATGCCAAAGTCGAGGTCGTCCTGGTGGGCGCGGCCGGCGGCGAGGAGCGTGCTCTGCAGCGTCGTGAAGCCGATGAAGAGCGACGGCACCTTCTCGTTCCGCAGGCTCACCGTGAAGCCCTCGAGCGCGCCCTGCCGCGTCACGAGCGGGTCCGACAGCGCGCCGGAGCGGCCCCAGCCCTTGCCCTTGGCGGTGACGACGCGGGTCGGCGCCACGCCGACGGCCATCGTCGACTTCCACGCGACGAAGTCCTCCTTGACGGAGTCCATTCGCTGCGTGTCGCCAGACGCAGCTTGCGGTGGGCTGCCGGGCGCACAAACAGAAAAAGATTTTTTGCGACCGCGCACGACACTGACACGACACGAGATGCGAGGAGAGCTCGATAGACTCGAGGGGCCAGGATACGCCGCGAGGAGGACGGAGTTGCGCAAGGCGAAAGAAGCCGCGAGAACAAGGGACCGGCAGGCGGCGCCGCCGCAGGACGAGGCAGAAGAGAATGACGCGACAGAGGAGGAAGTGACAAGGGAGAGAACGACGAGAGTGGGACGGCCGCGAGGTGGCATGACACCGACGCCCTCACGGGCTCACCCTAGTCGTAGGTGCGGTTTTTTTGCATGCCCCCCGTCGATACGGGGCGCTGGGCGATGGCTGGGCTTGTCGCCGGGCGAGCTAGCCCCTCAGCCGGCCGCGGAGCGGAGGTGCGAAATCGAGGCGGCGCCTCTGGGCCGGCGCGGGGGCCCCCGGCCCACACCGTGCGCCGCGCAGCAGTGCGGAAACGGGGCTCCGGCTCTATGAGTCTCTATGAGCACCGACTTCCCGATCTAACCCGGTCTAACAGAGGGCAGATTTGGAGAGATCTCGAGGAGTACACACAGATAGACCCTCCAATCATCAGAAAACTCCGACCTGATCGGTCGTACTGACCGCCGACAGATCACTGCAGACAGCAGACAGGCCGACGTCTGCACGCGGCCGGCCGGGCGAGAGGCTTGACACGATCCGACCCTGCGACCCTGACGCTGCTGCTCTAGCTATCAGATAACTGCTGACTGCTGCCACAATGTGTGACCGGTGCTGGCCCACTTGGCGGCCTTCCCGGTCAGTGGTGAGGCGCAGTTCAGAGCTGTCGATGGCGCGATGCCGCACTGGTCCCACATTGGTGACACGAGACCACCAAGTTTGCCGGTCCAAGAGAGAGGCACCGGCGCTGTCCTGAGAAGGTGCGTGGTCCCTCTTGACTGCCCATGCGCGCGAGGCTGTGTAGGCATAGCCTCGAGAGTGCCAGCAGCCCATCCGAGGTGACGCGCATTGCGCCAGAAGCGTGCACGCAGCTGGAAGGACACCTTCCTACTGGCCGTACGATCAGGTCGTCACTGAATGCTTAATACTAAGGCCGCGAGCTATGCAGGTGATCAATTGTGCATCATGGCACGGTCAGCTGCGCCGACAGGCTGTCGCAAGGCGTGATAGCATGGCCGCAAGTACGCCGAATTCCCATGAAAACAAGTAAAAAATCGCGAAAAAAAAACTCCAAAAAATCGGCGCCTGCGGCGGGCCATGGGACTCCATCTCCCCCCCGCATGGACACCCTCTGGGCCCCCCGCGCCGGCCCAGAGGGCGGCGCGGCCCCTGCGCGCAGCCTGTCCGGCCGGCGCGCGCATGGTTCCGTAGCCCGTCTAGTGCCTCACTGACCGACTCCAGGTCCAGCGCCACGGTGTATGTGGCCGGTGTGGTACTGGGGCTGGGCAGCCTTGGGGCCGGCGGAGACCGCCGTCTAGCGGTCGCACTAGTCTCTTTTTTCGTTGTTCAACCTGTTTTGTTCAACGGTTGTTCAACCATACTTTGAGCCTTAATTATTAATTCGTGTTTGGGTCTCTGAGGTCGATACCTAGCGTCTGTAACTTGCCACAAGCATGCTTTACAAAAGTCCTGCCGAGCGGGACTCGCAGAACTGCCGTCCGCGCGCGCTGTGAACAGCGTCGTGGTTGAACACACGCTGTTCAACGTCGTTGAACACGTAGCGAAAGAGAGACCGACCAGGGGAGGGTGGGGAGCAGGGGTTGTCTGCTCTATTTATTTATTTCCCTGGTGCGTGGTGGTTGTAGAGTTGTTGTTGTTGGTTGTATGCAAAAAAAGTGTACGTTTCAGAGAGAGAGAGATTTTTAGCAATACCAAACAACTCTAACAACACGTCATTTGTTTTGTACGTTTCATCGAGGACCCAGGCAGGAGAGCGAGAGCGGAGAGCACTGACTGACTGACTGTGAGGTCTGAGCAGGGCGCAGGGGGGCCAGGGGCTGAGTGAGGACTGCGTGAGGGGGAGAGCCGAAGCGAGAGTGAGGGGGAGAGCCGAAGCGAGAGAGGAAGGGATAAACGGAGGTGATTACACCATCGACAAGCCCCGCTCGACAAAAGAATTCCCCCGAGCGCCGCACCAGACAGCCCTCTGCTCCGACAGGCGGCGCCGCTGCCAACCTGCTCCTCGCCCCCACTCCCCGCCGCCCACGCCGGCCCGCCTCTCCTCTCCTCCCTCCCTCGGCAGGCCCCGCACCGCGCGGTCGCGCCTTTCGCCGGCGGGCACAAAGATGTCGAGCATCATGCAGTACAACGGTGCCGCCATCATCGCGATGGCGGGCAAGGACTGCATCGCCATCGCGAGCGACAAGCGCTACGGCATCCGCAACCAGACGATGGGCTGCCAGATGAAGAAGATCTTCCAGGTCGGCGACAAGACGTTCGTCGGCCTCACCGGCCTCGCGACGGACATGCAGACGCTCGACCAAAAGTTCCGCTTCCGGAGCAACATGTACCGGCTGCGCGAGGAGCGCGAGATGAGCACGGAGGCCTTCGCCAACATGGTCACCTCGCTGCTGTGAGCGCCCCCGCCCCACGCCCTCCCTTCCTCCCCGCCCCACCCCTTCCAGCCCGCCTCCCCCGCTCCCGCGTCCGCTCCGCCCCGCCCCGCGTCTCCCCCGCCCTCCGCCGCGCCCAGCGCAATCCCCGCCGCGCCGCAGGTATGAGCACCGCTTCGGGCCCTACTTTTGCGAGCCGATCGTCGCCGGCCTCGGGGGCGAGGACGGCAAGAGTCCCTTTCTCTGCGGGATGGACCTGCTTGGCGCGCAGGTCCGCACGGAGGACTTCATGGTGGGAGGCGACTGCACCGAGGCGACTCGCCGAGCTCGACCTCTCCCCACCCCTGCTACGCCCCTCCCCTCTCTCGTCCCTGCCATGCCTCCCTCCCCTCTCTCCCTCCCCCGCCGTCGCGCGGCCCAAGGTGTGGCGCAGCCCTCCTCCCCCGTCACCCCCCTCCTCTCCCCCGTCCCTCCTGCCAGGCGCTGTACGGGCTGTGCGAGTCGATGTACAGGCCGGACCTCGGCCCCGACGAGCTCTTCGAGGTGATCGCGCAGTGCTTGCTCAGCGGCGTCGACCGCGACTGCCTCGCCGGCTGGGGCTGCGTGGTGCACGTGCTCACTCCAGAGGGAGTGACCACGCGCGACTTGAAGGGCCGGATGGACTGATGCGCCCCCCCCCCCCCCCGTACCGCCCCGGCACGCCGATCGCAGCACGGCCCTCGCCAGCGGAGCCGCTGCAGCGAGCGCTCGCTCTGCGCGATTGGCTGCTCTCTCGTCTCTGCCGTGCGTGACCTGTACGGAGCTCCGCGCCCTGTAGCTATTCTATACACATACGCAGATAAACAAGGCGCGTTTCGCCACAGGTGTGGATCACATACACACTCACCCGCCACCCGCCAGTGACGCAATCAGTCAGCAGATGGTCGCAGCAGTGCGGACCAGTGTGCGGCGCGGAGTCCCAGTCCGCCAGGCTCCAGCGAGTGCGAGCAGTGTCCGAGAGAGAATGCGGCGCGTGTCGTGATCTCTTCTCGCTCTCTTCGTCTTTCGTTTTTGCGTCGTCTCGAGTCCGTCGTCGTCGCGCCCGCTCTCTCCCTCTCGCCCGCGGTCTGGGGGTCAGAGCCTCTCCGCTTCTCAGTCTCTCACACGTCTCTCTCGTCCTCGATCACAATCGTTCTCGCGTCGTCGCCTTCCGGCGCTTGGTCCGCTCGGCGCCTCGTCGCTACCGCCGGTGGCGCCGCTGCCGCCCGGCGCCGCAGCTCCGTCGCGTCGCTCGAGGGCTGCCCGCCACGCAGCCTCGTACCTACAGCACAGGCCAACAGGCCCCTCCGCATCGCCCCTCCGGCGGAGGAGGCAAGGGGCTGGAGAGCCGTCGGGGGTGGGGTGCAGGGCGTGAGAGGCGGGCGGGTGGTACGGCGGTCGGCGGGCGTGCAAAGCGGCTTGCGGGTCGAGGGAGAGGGAAGCGTCTCGCGCCGTGCAGGGTCGGGCTCGTTTTTCAGCCCTTGCTGCGCCACCTCCTCGAGGATGCCTGCATCACACACTGGCGGTGTGAACAGGCGGCGCTTCGTAGCGGCTGCTCCAGCGGCTGCAGAACTGCCTCGCGCGCTCTCTGGGACCAGCCCCGCGACGCGAGTCAGGAGCTCCAGGTACTCGCGGCAGAGCGTGGAGACGGTGCCCTTGTCCTGCGGGTCCCTCCTCAGCGCATGGCGCACCTGGCGCGCGCGCCGGTCCGACTTCAAGACGCGCTGCAGCATCGAGGCGTACTGCGCGTCGGCGGCGATGGCGGCGGCGACGACGGGCGCGGGCTCGTTGTAGTACGTCGACACATCGATGTGAACTGCTTCGGGGTGCTCCGCCGATATGTGGGAGGGCAGGCACAGCTGCATGAGCCGCGCGATGAGGTCCTCCAGCGTCACCGTGTCTCGCACCACGCCCTCGGAGAGCGCGGGAGCATAGCGTGCGATGAGCAGCGCTCGCCGATGCAGGTCGCCCTCGATGAGGGAAGCGCGGCAGTGTGGGCAGCGTAGATCCCCGTTCGTGGAATCCGCCTCGCCGTCCGCATCGAGTTCTGTCAGACCTGGGAGGCACGAGGCGCACACGCGCTTCTCGCAGAAGCCACAAGCGCGTCCGGACGTTCGCGGGACGGCCTCGAGGCAGACTAGGCAGGTGTCCATCTCGTCCATCGTGGCGCGAACACTAGGGGGTCTGAGGCAAGGGGGCCCAGATCTGCTCGTCTCAGAGGGTACCCTCTGTGCCAAGAGAGGCCATCCACGAGCGGCTCAGAGGGTGCCTGGGCCGACCCTCTGAAGGCCTGTGCCGCCAAGCCAGCCTCTCTCGGCGCAGCCTCTGAGGCTACGGGGACCCTCTGAGACGCCAAGGCAAGCCCCGCGAGGCCGCTCCTCAGAGGGGTTTTCAGGCGTTTCAAGTCTCTCTCGTCCCCACCACCAAAGAAAAAGAATTTCTGCGAAGGTTGAGGGAACTGTCTCTCAGCTACTCTGCGCGGCGCCCAGGGTGAGGCACCCAAGATCTGAGCCCTGGCCTCGACACCTCGACACCAAACCTCGACACCAACTCGACACCAACTCGACACCTCGACACCCCATGCCAACTCGACCAACTCGACACCCCTCGACACCCCTCGACACCCCTCGACACCCCTCGACACCATCTAGGCTGAAACCATGCTCGACCGTGTCAAGGTGCCAAACTCGACACCTCGACACCCCTCGACACCCCTCGACACCGCTCGACACCCCTCGACACCGCTCGACACCGCTCGACACCGCTCGACACCTCTGATGATCCTAACACAGCAGAGATGTAGACCCATTGGAGTCAGAGTTAGAAATCAGGGTTGCAGCAGCAATCAAACTTGGCTGGCAGTACTTTCATCCCTGAGTTGCAGCCTCTCAAGTTCTAGCTCAAGTTGCAGCTCAGTTGCACCCCTGTTGATGCAGCAAACATGGCAGTACTCAGGTAGCCCTCAGGTGCTGCACAGCACCTTGTACAGTGGCAATGAATCCTCACACCAGTGAGCTTGTGCCATGAGTGCAGACCTGTGGTCCATTGCGCTTTGTGCACTGGCGACGCTGCAACGGCGACGCTGCAGCGGCGGCGACGCTGCTGCGATGGGGTACTGGCAGCCCTTAGCTGCTGGACAGCACCTTGTGCAGTGGCAATGTCCACTGACTCATGGCACCAGCCTTGTGCCATGAGCGCTGTGGTCAGTTGCGCTTTGTGCGCCGGTGGCGCTGCAGGGGCGACGCTGCTGCAGCGGCGACGCTGCTGCGGTGCTGCGCCTGCACAGTACCTTTGTGCACAGTGGCAATGACTCCCGGCACTTGATGTCCTCAAATGTCCACAGAGAGTATACTGGTTGTGCTCAGGTTGTGCTACATCAACAGGGTGCAACTGAGGCTGCAACTAAGGGATGAAACAGCTTTGCAACTGCTGCCCAAGTTTTGTTGATGGGCTGCAACTGCATCCTGCCACCTTGGACACCTCGACACCTTAGACGCAAAACCCCTTGACAACACTCGACACCTGCTCGACACCCTCGACACCCTCGACACCCTCGACACCCTCGACACCCCTCGACACCCCTCGACACGGTCAAGCATGGTTTCAGCCTCGACAAGGGCAAACCCCGGAAAGTGCGGCAAAAATAACGCACGGGCCCTCAGCGGAGCTGGGAAGAGGACCGCCGCAAGCGGCGTGGCGTGGAGCGGTTGTGCATCCCTCCGGGGGCCCCTCTGCGCCGGGGAGGCGTTGTTGGAGGCTAGGACGCAAGCGTCCGTCGCCCTTTTCAAACTCGGGGCCCACTCCGCTACGCTCCGACCCGAATTTGGAGGGCCTAAAAGTTTAAGGTGTTGCTGCGCAAAAGGGGTCGGACACCGGGCGCAGCTCATGCTAAGAGCTAGAAGAGGAGATAGAGAGAACAACCACCCTGTCCCGTTATTGCGTACACCAACACCACAAAACGCTCTCTCTCTCCTGTCCTCACTCAGGGGGGTCACAACTACCAAGTCCCTCGACTAGCTGCCACAGGGCGCAGCTGCCACAGGGCGCAGCTGGAGACGCTCCCCCTCAATCGGCATCCACCCCCACCCGCTCCAGCCCCACTTCTGCTGCCGAGAGAGCTGAATCGAAGCAAGCGAGCCATTGCATCTTGGCGTGCTCCTGGAGCGCGGCTTTCTGCGGCCACGAGCACGGCGGAGTCGGCGTCGTAGTGCGCATCGTTCCCGCTCATCGCCCATTCCTCCCGTGACGTGTGTCGGCCGCGATTCGATGTCGCCACCTTCATCGCCAACGAGGACTCCCTCGACTGCAGGGGGGCTCCGGCGCGGGGAGGGACTCCGCCTGCTGCGCTGGCCGACTGCGCCCTCCTCCTCCATGGGATCGATCCGATTCCGCAGCGGCGGTGCTGCGCGGGAGGCGGCCGCGGGCACGCTGGGCTCGATCAGCGGCTTTCCCCTCAGGTAGCGCGAAGAGCACGGATTTGGCGGACGTTCTGCTTTCAACTTTACGGATGTCTTGGCACCAGCTGAAGGCTTGCGTCCCACATCGCCGGATTTGTGCACGGTATTCGGATTTTGCTATTTGCTCGTGTGGGGGTATATTGCAGATTTGTCAATGGTACCGCGTCTGCGACGCGGGCGCCTTGCGGGCAGAGCCCTTAGCCACCCTTTTATCTTGCGCGGTCATAAGCGCCTGCACGTGTAGGCGCGCATCTTAGCCAAGGCTCGCGCCTACACGCGTAGCTGCTTGTGTCAGATACGCGCCCACACGTGCAGGTGCGAGCCCTAGCTAACATGAGCGCCTCCACGTGCAGATGCGCATTTGGCGAGCTCGAATATAAGCGTCTACTCGTGCTGGCGCTCGTTTTAGCTAAGATACGCGCCTACACGTGTGGCCGCGCGTATAACTGTATTGTTTCTTGGACCCCCCCCCCCCCCCCCTCCCGGGCAAGTCATGCACTGAGCAACTGTCAACCCAAAAAGGACTGCACACGTGTAGGCCGCCCAGACCCCTACCTGACCTCCCACCTCAGCCTTCCACTCGAATACAACCTCTGCGGCCCTCTCCAGCTCTCCTGAGACCTAAGGTGTTAAAAAATGTATCGATCACACACCAAGTGCGTATATCACCTCAAGCCAATGTATGCGGCCACACGTGTAGGCGCGTTTCTTAGCTAAAACGAGCGCCTGCACGAGTAGACGCTTATATTCGAGCTCGCCAAATGCGCATCTGCACGTGGAGGCGCTCATGTTAGCTAGGGCTCGCACCTGCACGTGTGGGCGCGTATCTGACACAAGCACCTACACGTGCTGGCGCGAGCCTTGGCTAAGATGCGCGCCTACACGTGCAGGCGCTTATTTTTGCCGCACTTTCCGGGGTTTGCCATCTGTAAGGGTCCGCCGGCAGGCGCATTTTGTATACCGAGGCGGTGCCCGGTGCCGAACCTGTCGGACCTTAAGACAGCATTGTAGATCCCTGGGCGAGGGTGGTGGCGTCCCCGTCGGGAGGGGCTGTCTGGGGGGGTGCCCTCCCACCGTCACCTCACCAGCGTCCCGGTGAGTACGGCGATCAGAGCTCCCCCGCTCGTCAGACTTCCCCGTTGGAGGTAGGCCGCTCCTCTAGCCAATCAGCCTTAAGCGAGCGGCCTGGCCGTTGGAATGGCCGGGTGGAGAGAGGGGCGGAGTCGGCTCGGAAGCGCGACTGCAGCCACGGGGACTGCCCGCCCACTCTCGTCGGCTCGGGTTGAGGGGAGGACGACTGTCTCTGACGGCGGACCTCAGTTACGAGCCGCCCTCCCCTCGAGACGCGAGGCCAGCGCACTTGGGGCCGAG